TCGCTAACTGGGCTCATGAAACACTATGAGGGTGCAGCTGCTATAACCCCTTTCACAGATAAACTAAGCATTAGAGAGGACAAGTAACTTGCTGTGGAAGCTGTTTTGGGTCAGGTGAATCTTGGCTTACACAACACCCTCACTCCCCCATCTGTCCCTTCCCTATATTGGGGATGGAATCCAGTGGTGCTCTGTCGCTGAGTTACACCTCCAGACCTTTTCCTTTATGGAGACGGAATCTGGCTAAATTGCACCGGTAGGACTCAAATCTGCCATCCTCTTGCTCAGTCTCAGGATTACCGGCAAGAACCATACTGTCCAGCTTTTCTTTTTCTTTTTCCTTCCTCCTGCTCTTCTGTATTTCCTTCTTTCCTTTCTGGTGCCAGGGTGTGTCTGTGTGTGCATGCGCACGTGCATGAAAGGGCTTGAACCCAGGGCCTCTTGCTTGTTGTGCACCTGCTCTACTACTGAGTTACACCTCCAACTGCTCAGACATACATTTCTGTGGCTGATGCTTAAAGTGAAAAATCCCTCCTGTGAACTGCAAAGATGCCTCGTTTTGTAATATACTGGAATAACTCTAGCTTTCAGCACTCCTGCTCTGTCAGTTTCCCCAAATCTTGGTATTGTAGACCTTGGTACTGTACTGTATTTCAGACAGAGACTTTGGCTACTCACTGGACAACTTCATGCTAAAGATCGGGCCCAAAGTTGTGAAGGAACTACCCGCAGATCAGGTCTGACATCAGAAGAACTGGAAATTCTATCCTGGTGCGCTAACTTTTAGGCTTAAGTTGCCTGCTCATTAAGGGACTTTGTTCTGGTTAAAAAAAAAAAAAAGCAAGTTCAAAATCCCCACTTTTTCACCTGCAAAATTGTATCAATTACAAGACCTCTGTGGGTAAGGGCTAGAAGGGTGTGGCCACCTTAGGCGGGGAACGTGACCCTAGACCCTAGGAGGAGGGCTCGCGCTGGTAGTGCTGGGAGGCGACGGTGGGCGGATGGGGGGACCGATGGGGGGGCGCGACCTCTCTTTGGACGCTAGAGGCGGAGATTCGAGACTTCTGGGCAGGGCCGACAGGCAGATCATTTTAGGCGGGGAGTGGCCAACGCTGGAGTTGCGGCAGATAGGATAACGGATCCTAGGGCTTCTGGAAGTCGGGGCGGGGTTTCAGGGCGCCAGTTCTGAAGCAGTAAGAGGGGATCCAGGTTTAGGGAATCAGGAAGCTGGCTTCAGGGCTTGGATGAGTTGGGCGAGGCTTGAGATTCCGGGAAAATCCCAGCGGAGCCGTGGATCTTCACCTTGCAGAGCCAAGCGGATCAGTGGTTAGATTTCTAGGAACCCTATTTCAGGTTCTAAAATGTGCTGGGCGTGGCTCGGAGGCGCCTGTGGTTGTAGCCCCGGCCACTCCAGTGACTTGAGCTCGGGCCCGCCTTCCTCTGCGGCTCGTTGCATCCCTTGGCGCGACCAAAGGGGGCGCTAGGGAGGAGGCGTGGAAGGCAGGGTGGGAAGCCGGCTGGCCCTTCCGGAAGTGGGCGTGGCGTGCCGCGACTCTGCCTCCCTGGTTGGGCGCGGCGCGGCGCGGGGGTGGAGCTGCGCGCGGCGGCAGGGGCGGTGGCGGCTGCCCGCGCCCCTCCCCCGCACGGCGCTCAGTGCCAGGCGGGAGGCGGCAGCAGTTGGAGGCTTCTCTGAGCCGTGTAGCGCGTACTTCGGCGGCGGCGGCGGCGGCGGCGGCGGTAGCGGGAGCGCTTCAGGCATCTCGGCCCTGGTGAGTGGCGCGCGCCTGGTGGGGCGGCTCGGGAGCGAGCCGGGCGGGCGGCCCTGTTCTCTCAGCATGTGCTACCGCGGGCTGACAGGAGCCGGCGGGGCGAGGGGTAGGGCGGGGTGAAGGGCGAGGGCCGAGGTGGGCGCGCGAGCGCGGGTCCTGCACAGTGTTCGGGGTCTTCGGGCCTGGGGCTGCGGCTGAAGGCTCGGGATTTCGGGGAAAGGCAGGGCACCGGCCAGTCGGCCTGCGAAACTTGGGGCGGGGTCCCCGCCGGTAGGGCTCCAGGGGTCGGAGTCCTCCTGGCGGGGTGAAGAGCCGTGGGCCGTGCGTGGACGCGGCTGCCCCAGGCTTTCAGGGGTCGGAGACCCGCCCTCGAGTAGGGCGAGGTGCTGGGTGAACAGGGGCTTTTCGAGGCGCGGCTAGGGCTCAGGGCCCAGGGGCGCGGGCCGCTCTAAGGAGCGAGGGGGTGCGGGTGGGTTGGTGCCAGGGAGCCCGGGCGAGCTGGGCCCTGCGTGAAGGGCGGGGGCGGCCGCCCGGCCTAGTGGTAGCCTGGCGTTGGGGGCGAGCCCTCACCGGGTCCCGAAGATCAGGGTTGGGGGGGCAGGTAGGGCGGGGCAGGGCACAAACTAGAGTAACGTGGGTGGACGAGCTTTGAAAGAGGCTGAGCCCGGCGGAGGGAGTTGGGGGTCGCTGAGACCCGCGAAGGGTTGGAAGAGGAAGAACTAAGCAGGAACGCTGCGGGGTCTGGGGTGTTCGAATGAACTGGGTGATTCAGAGAAGTGCTCGCCTAATAGCGGGGCAGCTAGCGAAGGATGCAATGGACAGGAGCGAGGTGCAGGTGGGGCTCTGCTGCGCCGAAATGACTGAGGATGAGATCAGACGCGGAGGGTGGAAATGCGGGAACCAGGCTCTCCTGCCTGTCCCCACAGGCGCACGCACGGCAGCCCCCGGCCTCTCTGGCGATTTGAACGTGTAGGGGGAAGTGGCTGGCTGTGGGGAGAGTCCAGTAGAAAGGGGCTTCCTCTTGGAGGGAGGCGCTGGCCCTGCCGTCCTTTTTTGGGAGTGTTCAAAGGGTTTTGATCGCTGGAAAAGGAAATGTAGGCTTTTCTGCAACATGGTTTAGAATCACATCCTATATTTGGCCTTAATGTAGGCTGCCCTTGTTTTGTGGTGTCTGAAGTGCTTGCTCTACATGTTGCAACGTGGGATTCAGAGTGAGAAGCAAATTGCAAGTTGTTCATTTCCCCCGGGATAGCAAAGTACAAAGGCTTTTTCCCTTTCTGTAAGGCATTTAAAAGGAATCAAATCCTGTGTTTTAGCTGGTGCATACATTTACTTTTGGAGATCGTCACAAAATTATTAAGCTCTCAGGCCACAGCATTGCTGGCTGGGATTACATTTTAAAACGGTGTACTTATAGGACTCTTACTCAGTATATAAATGTGGATCTCATTGTTTTTTTTTTTTTTTTTAATCTACCAGAACTCTGTCCGATACCAGGACCTGCTAGGATAGACAGAAATATTATTAAGTATAAGCAGTTGCTTTGTATCCTCTGTTCAGTTGTGAAGGCAAAAGATACTGTATCTGTATAATATAAGTTCACTTAGTACATTCCTTGTAAAGCTGAGGAAGTAGATAGCTGAAGAAATGGGTAAACTACTTTGGACTTGATTCTGTACATTTCAGAAAACTGATTTAAGAAAACTTTCCAGGGGGCTAGGGCTTGGAGGTATGTTTCATAGTCATGTTTGAAGAAGCCTAACATTAAACATTAGATCTGAAAGAGTGCATAAATAAATGGGGGGGGGGAGTTAAAAAAAACAACAACCCTGTTGTATGTTAGGCTTGGAAGTACAGTGTCTTGTAGATGATAATCATGTGTACAGAGAATTAAACAAAGATTTAGTGTAAATATGGTCAGACACACACCTTTTTGGCAAAGCCAGAAAGTAGCTTCTTGTATTTTAGATTGCTAGTGGGTGGTACGTTAAAACCTGGTCAATTTTAACAGACACATATTACACACAATATAGAATTCTTCACAATTGTTACTTTGCAAATTGTGTTAATGAGCATTTATGTGTTTCATTTCTGTCTAGTTTCAAATTAGACTTGGATTTGATGAATAGCATTTTCTAAATAGGTTTTTTATTTTGATATAAGTTTTATGTTTGACACATATGTCACTCCTGGGATCCACTCCAACCATGAGAAGAGTCACTGTAATGTCTCTGAGATGAAATGTTCAAAATACAAGATTATTATTTCTTATAAGTGGGAATGTGGAAATCATTGCTTTATGATGACAGAATATTCATTTCTTAATAATTTTATTAGCCACAAACTTGCTTTTAAAAGTTATTATTAAGCAGACTATATTTTACCTTTGACCTCTTTTTCAGGGCTAGAGTAATAATAAATATGAATGTCATTTTTACGTTCAGAGTACAAATCCATGTGATAAAACCTCCTGAACTTATTTTTCTATCTAATAAATTACCTGTGTTAGCCTAACCTGGAGTTGTGAAAACTCTTTTGGTACTTGGTAAGTGTGTCTTTTTAACCTTAAGCTGCTTTTTTCTGTATTAAAACATGGAATTCTTCATGAATATTTCACTGTGACCTAGTACCCAGAATGTTAAGTAATAGAATCTCTCTGGATTTTCATTGCCCTAGTTCAGATCGTTTAGAGTGAACAAGATTCTACTGTATACTCTTTTCTTAGCACTCACTTTGTGTTTCCATAATGTGTAATGAGATCTTATTTTGTTTTAGAGCAGTTTTATTGAGGTATAATTCATATGCCATACAATTCACTCATTTATTTTTGTTTTTTGTGGTGCTAAGGATTGAACCCAGGGCCTTTGCACTGAACTACACCTCTAGTCTTTTGAAAGAGTCTTGCTAGGTTGTCCAGGTTGGGCTCAAACTTTTGATCCTTCTGCCTCAGCCTCGTAGAGTGCTGGGATTACAGATATGTGTCACTGTGTCCTACACTTCACTCATTATTGTGCCCAGTACAGTGGTTTTTAGTATATTTGTAGAGTTGTATAGCTATTGGTTACCATAATCAACTTTATTTTATTTTTATGGCCCTAATACATAATTTAATGGCTGTGCCGGCCTATATCCCTCATTTCTGATGCTGCTGAGTCCACTGCTGTGGGGTCAGGGTTTTCTGCACAAAGGCATGGATGTGCGGGAGCTCTTCTGCTACACACTTGTTCACTAGCTGGTGTCTCTGAAGCAGCGGCTTCCCCTCGAATTTAGTCGACACCACGAGGACCTGGAAGCTCGTAACACAACGGTTCGGAGTCTGAGTCCTCCACTTCCATGTGGTCTGCCTTTGGGTCCCTCTGCCTCTTGTCCCGCAGGGCAGCAGTGCTGAGTTCCATGTCAGCAACCCGAGGTGCAGCAGCCTGGCAGGACAACCCACCTCACCACCAGCACACTACTTTCTGTCCTTATCCAAGCCTCTTTCCCATAATCAGTTTTAGAACATTTCATCACCCTAAGAAAGAAATGCTGTTCCTATTGTCGATCTCCTGTCTACATTCTTCCTTCTCAGTCTTAGTATCCAGTTATCTACCATCTCAAATTTACCCATTATGGACATCGTGTAAGTAAAGTCATGCAATATGTGATCATTCTGTCTAGCGTCTTTTTTTTTTTAAATTTTATTTATTTATGTGTGTGTGTGTGTGTGTGTGTGTGTGGCCAGCTCAGCCCACCAGGGGGTGGGGCTGGCTGGCATGTGGTGCTGGGGGATTGAACCGTGGTCCCTGTGCTTTGCCAAGCTTGTTCCAAGTAGGTGCTTTAGACCACTGAGCCATCTCACCAGCCCCTCTAGCGTCTTTTTATTTAGCTTGTTCTCAAGATGTATGTATGTTATAAAATGTGTAGTACTTCATTATATTTATGATTAATATCTCACTGTATGGGTATACTATTACTTATTCATCAGTTGATGGGCATTTGGTTGTTTTTCCCTTTTGACTCTTATGAATAATGGTGTTATGAACATTTGTGTACAAGTGTGAACGTATGGCTTTTTTTTTTTTCCCCACTGTTTAGCCATGGAGGAACTACCTGCTTTTCCCAAGCAGCTGTACTGTTGTAGATTTTTACCCACAGTGTGTGAAGGTTCCCATTTCTTCACATTTTCACCAATACTTGTTATTCCCAGTCTTTTTTTTTTTTTTTTTTTTTTCCCGGGGATTGAACTCAGGCCCTTGCACTTGCCAGGCAAGCACTTATTCTACTGAGCCATCTCCCTGGCCCCTCTCAGTCTTTTTTGATTCTAGCGATCTGAGTGCATATAAATTGGTAACCATTGCTGTTTTGACATGTTTTCCAGATGGTTAATGCTAACATTATTTCATATGATTGGTGGGCATTTGTGTACCTTACTTGAGGAAATGTTTTTCAGATGCTTAATCTTTTAATGAATTGAACTTTTATTGTGGAGTCATTTATATATTCTAGATAGAAGTACCTTTTTTATGAATTTAGGACAGGGTGAGGAAGAGTGTACAGAGTCTATCACATTTACAGTCGGACTCATAGTGATTCTCCTGCTTTCAGCCTCCCAAGCACTGGGATTATAGGTGTGTGCTACCACACCTAGTCTCAAATGCTGTCTCAGCATGCCTCTGGGGGTGGGGCCAGCACAGCACAATGGGGATTTTTTTTTTTTTTTTTTGGAACTGAGGATCGAATTGAGGTCCTTGCCCTTGCCAGGCAAGCACTTATTCTACTGAGCTATCTCCCCTGCCCAAATACCTTTTCTTTGGCTTAATATTTTTACAAGTCTACATATCTTTTTTCTTTTTTTTTCTTGGTACAGGGGATTGAATTCAGGATCCTGTGCTTGCCAGGCAGGTACTTATTCTACTGAACTATCTCCTGGGCCCTCACAATGGGGATTGAATCCCGGCTGCTGAGCTCTGCCGAAGCAGGTGCTTTAGTGCACTGAGCTATGTGCCTGTCCTTTAGATAAA